AAAGGAAGAGAGAAACAAGGAAAGGAAAGGAAAGGAAAGGAAAGGAAAGGAAAGGAAAGGAAAGGAAAGGAAAGGAGAGGAGAGGAGAGGAGAGGAGAGGAATGGAAAGGAAAGGAAGAGAGAAACAAGGAAAGGAAAGGAGAGGAGAGGAGAGGAATGGAATGGAAAGGAAAGGAAAGGAAAGGAAAGGAAAGGAAAAGAAAGGAAAGGAAAATTCAAGAGAATGGGAGGTCTAGCTGAAAATATTTAACTGTCCCCCATCTCAGTGCATCCTACAGAGCTATAATTTTCTCTCCACATTTCTTTGCCAACTGAATATATGGAAACCCAAAATAGTGAGATGGTACTTGGGCAGCTATATAATTTAATAAATCAATTTTACTACTTTGTATTAGAAGTACTGATCCATCCATTTCAAACAGTAAAATATATTTCGGACAAGCCTGCTCCTCCAGTGCTCCACTGATTCCCAGTGGAGCTGTGGCTGAAGTCCTGCACTGAACTAGCTTTTCCCAGGCTGGTTCCTTCTTAAATAGACTGAACAGTTGTGCCCACAGCCTTCAGCAGTCACAGCCCAATCTCTGCCAGTTGGGAACTATGGGAGTTGAAGTTCTGAAGGAACCAGACTGGGGAAGGCTGAGCTGAATGGGTGATTAATACAAAAGCAGGAAGTTAGTCGCCATCAGAATGCAACATGGTTAGTCAGCCTCAGCGTATCTGTGCTGTACCTTCTTCTATGGGAGGGAGTTTTCCTTACGACTTCCCCCAGCACTCGCATTGAACTGAAAAAATGAATCATGGACAATTATCAGAAACATCATCAACCATTCAGAAATTTCCAGACAGAGAGACTGGAGGTCGTGGGGGAGAATCCAAAGGTGAAGGACGGAAGGAGTGGTAACAGGGAGTAGAGAAATATGACGGGGTGGCAGAAGGGTGGGAAAAAATGTTTGGTGTGAAAAAACAGTATTAGCCTGCAAGTTCACAGTGCCACCTACGGCCAAGAAGCAAGAACTGAATGGTCCTTGGCCCAACACAAACATATTGGCACCATCAGACTTACCAAGGTCATTTCCCATACTACCTGCCCAATCCAGGGTTACACAAAATGAATAACTGATCCAGGTAAGTCCTCAACTTGCGACTGCAATTGAGCCCCAAATATCTGTTGCTAAGCAAGACCGTTGTTAAGTGAGTTTGGCCCCCTTTTACGACCTTTCTGCACAACTTCATTACTGGGAACTGTCGCGGTTGTTAGGCAAGTGACACAGGTGTTAAGCGAATTGGGCTTCCCTGTTGACTTTGCTTGCCAGAAGGTCGTAAAAGGGGATCACTTGAGCCTGGGATCCTTCAACCATCGTAAGTATGAACCAGTTGCCAAGCGTCTGAATTTTGATCACATGATCATGGAGACACTGCAAAGGTCGCAAGTGTGAAAAATGGTCATAAGCCCCTTTTTCAGTACCATCGTAACTTTGAACAGTCACTAAACAGACTGCTATAAGTTGAGAACTACCTGTACCAATAGAAACGAAAAGTGCTAAGGCTGTTGTGCCAAAATCATAGCAATCTTTCAGGAAATGCTTCCCTTTCTTCCTCTCAAGTCATCGAGTTGAGGGCTTGACTGAGCTTTCTTGACAGCTACATCATCTCAAAGTATGATTTTTTTTCACCTCTAACCCGTCAAGTCTTCCTCACTCCCCCACCCCTACTACAGGTGAGGTGAGTCACTGTGTACAATAACCTGAGTCATGATAATTACTTAAACTCTTATCACAGAGTACGCAACACCCAGGAAAAAATTAAAACTCCTTCTAGGTCATAGTAACACTGTTTTTTTCTATAAAGAAAGAGAAAAAAAATATCCATTTTTGCCTAGTAGTTAAAGTTACTAGGATAGAAACCTGGAGTGTGTGAGTTTTAGTCCCATTTTAGGCATGAAAGCCCCTTGGGAGACTTTGGGCCAATACATTTATGCTTCAATCCAACTTTCCTTGTTGTTGTTGTGGCGGTGGTGGTGGTGGGAAGGAGTATTAGGTATTTTCACCACCTTGAGTTATTTGTTGCTTTGGATAGTGAGATAGGCAGCATATGCATTTAATAAATAAATAAATAAATGTATAAATGTTTATACTTATATCTGTTATCTTATACATGCTTGACAAAACAAAAATAAATAAACAAACACAGGCATACATTCATTCATTCATGCATACATACATACATACGTAAAGGTAAAAGTTCCCCTCGCACATGTATGCTAGTCGTTCCCGACTCTAGGGGTGGTGGTGCTCATCTCCATTTCAAAGCCGAAGAGCCAGCACTGTCCAAAGACATCTCCATGGTCATGTGGATGGCATGACTAAAAACCGAAGGCGCCCGGAACGCTTTACCTTCCCATCAAAGGTGGTTCCTATTTTTCTACTTGCATTTTTACATGCTTTCGAACTGCTAGGTTGGCAGAAGCTGGGAGAAGTCACGGGAGCTCACTCCGTTACACAGTGCTAGGGATTTGAACCGCTGAACTGCCGACCTTCTGATCGACAAGCTCAGCGTCTTAGCCACTGAGCCACTGCATCACACATACAAACAAACAAACAAACAAACATACATACATACATACATACATACATACATACATACATACATACATACATACATACATACATACATACATATTCATTTTAATCATTTATTTGCCTCTTTTAGATGGCTCCTAGACTTTTAGAATAATATGCTTTTACTCCTCGGGTCAGGCTGAACAGTAAAGTAGGAACAAAAAGCCTCCCAGATTGCTTTTGAAGTGTAGAAAAAGCACACACCCTTCTTTTTTAATAGCAAACAAGAAAATAACAAGAAGATTTATTTGAAGCAGACTTATTCTGCTGTTTGGCTAAAAGGGGGTCTCTGCTTTCGGACATAAAGACGAGAAGGAAGGGAGTGCCTTAACTTTTAACATCTTAAAAAATTGCAAAAGGACTACCAGGCTAACTTTCTGCAAAACAAAAGAAAGGACCTAATTCTTCTGGTTTCTCCAAAATCCCAACTTCCAAGTCTACAGATCAGACCAAAGAAGATCTAGATCAGGGGTGTCAAATTTGATTTCATTGAGGGCCGCATCAGAGTTGTGTTTGACCTTGGGGGGGGGGGCATGGCTGGGGAGGGTGTGGCTTGGGGGCATGGCCAGCTCGACGCCACTCGTCAAGGCGTCCCCGGGCTCCATTTTCGCTAACAGAAGGCTGCAGGAGGCTGTTGTGGCCGAAAACAGAACCCTGGGGAGAGGGGCAGAACGCAAGGCCTCCTTAAGCTCCATTTTCGCTGACAGAGGCACTGCGGGCTGGTCCTTCACTGTTTCCAGGGCAGCCCTGTGGGCCGGATCTAAGCAGCCCGCAAGCCGGATCCGGCCCACAGGCCTTCAGTTTGACACCCGTGATCTAGATGATTGGATGGTCCTGCTTTGTTTCTTGCCCTTTGCTTTTTACCTTAGTAAAATGGGAGCTTTCCAGCTTAGGTGGGAAACCAGCAGTTTAGGCCATGTTTACTCAAAACTCCCACTCCCCATGACTATTGGATAGGGCAATGGGAGCGGAGTTCAGGTTGTGAAGGTGAGAGCCAAACAACCAGAACATGCCAGATTGGCTGTGCTCAACCTCCAATGTTTCCCACTTGGATCTCACGTTTTGATCTTGTGGCTGAACTTGACTTCTCCTATATTTCCTTCCTTCTGCCATCTTGGAAGCCCCACGTTTCTTCTAGGTATGGATGATCAGCCCCTTCCAAGAAATAGTTTGGCTTACCTCCTGTGGTTGACCTCAGCTTCACTGTTGTTACTATTCTTCCCTGGGCCCCAGCTATGCCGACGGAAAGGAGACAACGGCCTCAAATTGTTCCGCAGGCCAGAAGAAGGTGGGGACACCTCCATGACGCTATCCAGCAATTCGTCCAGTTCTCCAGAGATCACCGCCATGCCATCTTGACCTTCTCCGTTCGTCCCCATGTTGAAGCAGCTGCCATCTGGGCTGTACCTTTCCTTGGATCCAAGGAGGCCGGGAGTCCGTGGAACAGAAAGGTTACTACCAATGGAAGAGTTCCTTTCTAGCGATATGGTATCGTCCACTGAGGAGGTTGAACTTCTGCCGGCTGATTGCTCCTCTTCAGGCTGCTTTGGGATTGCAATAATACAGGAGTAATGGTAATGACAGGCAGTTGTACTAGTAGTAATAATAAAACCTTTATTTTATTTAAGATATGTATAATTAAATTTCTTTCCAAGTGACACTCTATTGTAACATTAACATGACAGAAAGGAAATTTATTAAATAGATAGGGCAGGGGTCAGCAACCCATGGCTCTGGAGCCGCATGTGGCTCTTTCATCCCTCTGCTGCAGCTCCCTGTCACCAGTCGGCTCCATAATTGACAGGGCTTTCAGTTAGGATAGATAGAGGAAAAAGGATGCCGCGCTAGGAGGAGGCTCTATGGTGGGGAAACCAGACTTCTGGTTGGCTCCAGAATTGAATTCTGGTCGGCTTCCGGTTAGGACCTTTGTGGCTCTTTGAGTGTTTAAGGTTGTCGACCTCGACATAGGGTATGGCCATGCTAATTATTTGTTGATAAGGGTACTTAAACTAGCGGCTTTTGTTTTGAATTGAATGCAAGCATTTCATTTGAAAACTAATTTTGAAATTTAATTTAAATTTTAATCTCTCCACCAACATGGCTTTTTAACCTTAGGGTCCATCCCATTTAAAGTCAAATAAATCAGATGGTGTTTTGGTCCTGGCTCCACTAACATTTTAACATTGCTTATTTTGATGTAGTTCTCCAAACATACCTTCTTTTTTATGTTATTTAAGAAAAAAACTGTTCTACCTTCATTTCTGGAAAAACTATCCAAATTACAGAAAGAAATAAGAATCAAATCTGAAAACAAACAGGGGGAAAGGACGAAATAAAAAAAAAACACACAATTCAAATGGCCAGGAATCAAATGGAAGCTCAATGCTGGTCTGAAGAAAATATGGTGTAGGAGATGAGTAAGCTGACTCTGAAGGTGGAGTCAAATGCACCATCAGTTTGGAGTCAACTATGTCTCTGTGAGAGATCTAACTCCAGCCCCTCTTAAACTCCGTTGCCTGTTATCAGTCGCCAATTTGCCTTGACCATTAGTGGATCAGATTCTTGTTTATAGGTAGCATGGAATAAACTCATAGTGCTTTTCAACTCTATCCTGGCTCCTAATTTCCTGCACCTGAGACCATAGCCTCTGACACTTATTACGATGCCTGGTTCAGACAGCAGAGTCTGAGTCACTAGCCCATAAACTGTGGTTCAATTCCTCCTATCTTGGTGAACCAAGAGTGGATTGTGTAAGCTGTCTGCAGGTGGCTGTACTCAAACAATACAGAATCCAAGGCCATTTATGTGCTAGTCTAATATAAAAGTCCAAGCTTTGCACACCATTCCAGAAGAGATGTGACAATTCCCCCAAGCTGTGTCGGTAGACACAGCAGCCAACCTTAAGTGACCTTATTTCTCACATAAAGAGCTGGTAGATGTTTTGCTTCCAGTTTACAAAAATAAGAATATGGTCCATTGCAATCAGAAACCAGGCACATACTATCACCTGTGGGTTAGAAAAAATATTAAGACAACATACAGATTTTAAGCCAGAACTATTTTTGTTAAGCATAATACCAGAAAAATATGATAAAGGGAATATTACATGTTATAACAGCAGCAAGAATTGTATTTGCACAATGTTGGGAAAGCAAGGAAACACCTACGGAAGAAGATATAATAAAAAAATATTGGACAGAAATGGACAGATTAACACGGAAGTTAAAAGTAAAAAGAAGGCACGGAATATTTTCGAACTTGGGACTTGTTTTAGCAATGGTTGGACAACAGGGGTCAAAATTAGGAATTTAAGAAGTATTACTATGTAAATGAATGGACTCAGACATACACTGTTCATTGAGAACATATTGTATGTAAAGAAAAAGCCAATACAAATATTCCTTTAAAAAAAAGAATATTGTCCATTGCTATCTTGGATTCTACAAGCTTGAGGTCTAGATACCCATTCCTTGCCTGAACCACTCTGTGCTTCATTAAAGCTTACGCCACCAGGAAACTGAACTCGGATCAATAAGGAAAGACGGATGATCTCATCAGAGACAGTTATTGAAAGGGGATTTACAAGTTTATTGCCAATGACTTGAACATTTAAGTAAAGAAGAAGTGATCTCGGCACATCCTCCTTCCAAATCTGAAACTCTGCACAGAAATCCCCTTAAGTATATTTGAATCAGAAAGAATCAGAAAGTGATAAGGATTTTTTGGGGGGAGGGGTGGTGGTGGAGGAGCAGGAAGATGCAGCACAAGACTGTTATCTCATCACATCACAAGCTTGTTATTGATGGATCACAAGCCCAACATTAACACTGTGGTATTTTTTTTTCAATCTTGGCGCTTTGAAGAAACCTACACACTTACATAGAACATATTGAAGTCTGTGTTGGGTGGTGGGATTTCATTGTGTGGGTGCTGAACTACAGTTCCCAGCAGACTGAGTCTGTAAACTTAACAGGGAGGGATGTTGGGAATCTGAAGTGCAGCATTGTGCAGAGCAGGACTGGGGAGCGATGACCCTTTTATGGCTTGTAGACTTCAATTCCCAGAATTCCTGGCTGGCTCAGGAATTCTGGGAGTTGAAGTCCACAAGGCACAAAGAGGCCATCATTCCCCACCTCTGGTGTAGAGGATCACTTTCATCATTCTGTTCAAGAGAGGACCTTGAGCTGCTTAGGTTTTCCATGGTCAAGGCCAATGGTGGTCCAAGTAGAAATATACCAAAGATGGGGCTACCTGAGATCTCCATGCAAAGTTCTTATTTTCTTGATATACTACAATATCTGAGTTTGCCCTAAGATGGTAGCAGCTGATCAGCTGGCTGGAGTGGGTGGGTGGGACCAGCGGGATCCATCTTCTCAGATCTACTTGAACTACTTTAATCTAGATTACTTAAATCTAGATTAAAGCAAGAATCCCCAGCAAAGCAACGACACTTTTATACCAAAAGAAATGGAGCAGTATACACTATTAATTAATTTAAGAAGGTTGGAAGGGACCTTGGAGATCTTCTAGGCCAACCCCCTGCTTAGGCAAGAAACCCCTCACCACTTCAGACAAATGGTTATCCAACATCTTTAAAACTTCCAGTGTTGGAGCATTTACAACTTCCGGAGGCAAGTTGTTCCACTGATTAATTGTTTTTTGCTGTCAGGAAATTTATCCTCAGTTATAAGTTGCTTCTCTCCTTGATTAGTTTCTACCCATTGCTTCTTGTTCTACCCTCAGGTGCTTTGGAGAATAGCTTGACTCTTTATGGCAGCCCCTGAGATATTGGAAGACTTCTATCATGTC